TTTTAGGAAATGGATGTGTGCTTTTTACCGTGGAACTAAGTCGGGCGAACTTTAAGTCTGGGCGTTTTACAGTTTGCTATCAATTCAACCCACGAGAACATGACAGTATAATAAAACAAGCACGTTAAAGTCAAATCATGTAAAACGCACCTTTACAATATGAACTCCATGGCGTAGACCACTGACCAGTCGCTAGACACTCGCGGCTGTCTGGTCCTTCCAGCTGAAAACCATTAACGGTGTCACACCGAAGTAGACAAATAGAAGGACACGTTTGGGAGTTGGCTCGACAGTCATCTCGGTCCCAGCTTCCATGGGCCGGATTTGGCAGCGCAGTACAAGTGACGACTAAGTAGAAAAGTAGAAACGAAATGTGCTAAGTTTTGCTTGATGTCTCCGTTGCATAAATTAGTTGAATTATGACTGTTCTGCCAATACACAAATTAAGAGCATAAAAGTAAAACCAAGGCGAGGGAGAACAAAAAGAGTAAAGGAGGCCATATTGTGGAGCAATTGATCATGAATTGAAACAGATATCGAAATAACTATTACTACAGAAAACGCAAACCCAAAAGTAACAGCAAGAAGAAGACGAAGCACCCAAACAGCAGCAGCAGTAGTAGTGGTAGTAGTAGCAGCAACAACAAGAATAACGACAACAACAGCAACAACAGCAAAAACTACAATAACAACAACAGCAGCAGCGACGATGACAACAACAATAACAACAACAGGAGCAGCAAAAACTACAATAACAACAACAACAGCATCAACAATGACGACAACAATAACAGTAGCAGCAAAAACTACAATAACAACAACAGCAGCAACAACAGCAAAAACTACAATAACAACAACAGCAGCAGCAACAATGACAACAATAACAACAACAGCAGCAGCAAAAACTGCAATAACAACAACAGCAGCAGCAACAACGACAACAACAATAACAACAACAACAGCAGCAGCAGCAACAAAAACAATAACAATAACAACAGCAATAATAACAACAACAGCAGTAGCAACAACAACCGTGAACAGCAGTAGCATCAGCATCAGCAATAAAAATAACAACAACATCAGCAACAGCGACAACAACAACATCAGCAGCAACAACAACCATAGCAACAACAAAACATAAAACAACAAGAGCAAAAACAGCAGCAGCCAAGCTGCAACGATAACGATAATAATGAAAGCAACAACAGAAACAACTACAAAAACACAAACAACATTAACAAAATACACTGATAAAGACAACTCCGACATCAGATCCCTAAAAGGGATTATAATATTTAGCTTGAAGGACAAAGGTTCCTCTCTTACTCTTTTCTCTAGTTTCAGTCTGAGGAGATGCGCATGTCTGCGGTCCCACACCGTTACAATTGTCCTGTCTGTCGGTGTATAACCAAGTCAGTGCATAGCTCCGGGTACGCTGCTGAGAGGCGCAGTGACTTGCACTGACAGGTGAGGGCAGATCAGCCCAGGAACTCCACGACCCCAGTGAGCATGATGCATACCTGCACGAGCCTGTAGAAAAGGAAAATTACGTTTGTCTTGAAATTTATTTCTTTCAGTTACGTAATTTTAGAGAGTTTCAGAAACCACGACGGCGACGCCGAGGACAACGTTGATTAAAAAATGAATTTTTATCTTACTTACTGCTCTCGTGGTACTCTAAAGTCATTTACTTTGTTTATTACTGTCAAAACTCTCAGGAAACTAAATCTGGAACACAGCTATAAATTTGAAATAGAAATTTAAACAAAAATTAGCCGTTGTGGCTCACGTTCTCTAAACAACGCAGAATTTGGTCATTTCATGTTGTTGTTTTGCAGAGGAGCGTAAAGAAATGTACCAAGAATTATAACGCACGTGCATAGCCAATGTATTGCTCATTAAATCTTTTGTTTAGTGACGTTCCCGTTGCTGTTGCCGTCGTGTATTTTTTTTCAACTTCCTATTCAAATACGATAGACAGTGCTGCATCACATTTTTAAAAACTCTGAATTTGAGAGTTGAAAATGTAACACACAGCGGTGCATATTTGACGAACTTCGAGGTCTTTGAAAATGTCATAGTACTGCGTATGTTTGATCTATCTTCGCAAAGGAGGGTTGAGATCGTAGAAATCTATGCTTGTTGTAAACTGAACTTACACCAATCCCTGTAGTTGTACTGCCTTGATCCACACGAGCTCGGGATGCCGTTACAATTGCCTTCTCGCACATCATACCTGGTGTGTTGATTGTAGTCGCGGTAACGGCTCTGACGTCCGCATGTCCCTTGAGCTATTGATCCTGTCCAACTAGACCAACCATGGAAGGGGCAGTAGTAAGCATTCGTACAAGAGCCTGCAG